ATTTTGTTGTAGAAATTCTGACATTGGGATCATTACACTCGACACTGACTGTGTTTAGTTATCAGATCTCAAATTAGCTGAAACCTTGTTGGATATAAACAACTTCAGGGTTGTTTTTCTAACAGATTAGTTGCTTTTTGATGAGTTAATTATTCTAACAACTAAATTATCAATTATTCTAAATGTGATAGTTTTATTACTTGATTAAATTAACCCTTAATTTACCCAAAATAAACATTAAAAGCTTGTTAGATGCACATTTAAGGAAGTTAATTCTCCAAACAAGAGGACAGAAAAGTAAAACCACGTCAGCAGGCATTACTATATTCCATTATATTCTGAACTGTTACCTGGAGTCTAACAGATAAAATGTAAACAGACATTTGCACCATAAATTGATGCAGGAACGGAACAAACTGGTGCATAAAAGTTCACCAGAATGAGGAAGGAAATTACAATATTGACCCACAGGCACCTCCCTAGAAGCTATTTTAATCTTTTCTACTGCTTCCTCTGTGATAAATGAGTGTTTGCAGGCCTGAAGCTGCGTCCGTTGTGTCGGAGCGACTCCGACTGCAGCAGTTTGTTTAATGAGGTTAAAATAACTCACACATGTGGTTTTGGGTCTATGGGAGACGGCAGCAGGTAAACTCCAACAGCCACAGCCAGCAGAGCCACAAACAAAGACCTCCTCCCCAACCTGGCAGCAGAGAGAACACACGGACAACAACATTTTACATTAAAGCTGCAGCTAGCGATTGTTTTCATTATTTTACGCATGAACTAATTCGTTGTTTGGTCTAGAAAATGTCAGAAAATAGTGAAAAATGTCAACTGGGGTTTCAGAAAGTCCAAGATGGCGTCACTAAATGTCTTGTTTTAGCCAAAGACTGTCAAAGAAGAGGAAAAAATATAAAACATTCACCTTTTAGAAGCTGGAATCAGAGAGTTAAGACTTGTTTTCCATCAAAAAATCCTCGACTTAATCAAAATATTTGGTGATGAATTTATTAGTTGACAACTGATTGGTTGATTGTTGCAGCTCTATTTAAATGCACTTGATTTTTACAATGAACACTGAGGAAAACATCTGCAAAAATACAGAAAATGTGCCATAAATGTGCGTCTAAACATTAACAGAACTTCATGATCCCTTTAACAACCAAATTGAAGGCCTTCATTTTGCAACACTCCCCTAAATACGCAAATTTAGCCTCAAAGTAAAGATAGAAGTAGATGAGCTGATTGTGCTTCCTAATGATTACACGCCACAGTCTGCAGCGTTGCATCACACAGGCTGAAGTGAACTTTGACTTAAGATGTTCAGGACCGTTGCACAAGCTGCTCCCCTTAAACCTGACGGGAAATCTGTGGAAATTAGTTCTTTGTTCAGTTCTGTCAGAAGTAAACAGCGTTAATCAGCCAGATGTTCAGCTGCAACATTCTGGTTTCTGTTGTGCAGCTTTGCAAGAAAACAGTTTGCATGATTTTCACCATTTTTTCTTAAATTTAAAGGCTTTACATGAACAAAAACTAAGAATCCGTCTGGTTTAATGACACCAAATGATGTTTTCACCGATTTAAACGGACGCACCAGTAAATAAAAAGGCATTAATCCACATAAATGTCTGCCACACATTGTTTTCTTAGTGTTTTTCTCTCATTTGTGTTTTGTTTTTACTGAGCTGCCGAAGAGGAGTTTTAATTATGAGGCCAGTAATTCAGTCTGACACATCTGGATTGGAAACATCTGGGTGCAAGAGGAGAAAGTGCTGAGCAACATGAAATATTCAATTTCCTTAATTAACTCACAAATGGTCCCCTGAACGCAGCACATGATTAATGTATCTGCTGCACAAACAAAAGCTGGGAAAGCCATTCAGAGTCACAGTCCACAACAGGGACTTCTAAGGTTTCCTCAGATCTGACAGCTTGCAGAAAAATCTAGAAGTTTTGTTCTTTCTTGGAGCCTGAGTTTGTTCTAGATTGTGGTAGTTTTATAAGTGTTTAGGTGATTAAGTTGATTATGTGAACGTTTAGGTAACTTCCCCCAGTTTCCTAACGCCCACAGCTGTGCGATCTCTGCATTAGCTCAGCATGCAGGAGCACCATTTAAATCGTTTAAAGCAGGTAAATATTGCGTTGTTCTAACTGTTTTATTAAAGCCGAAAAGTAGCTTGACTCATAGTGGCTCCAAAAAGAGATTTGAATTGGTTTTAGCAACGCGCCTGCGTTCAGGACAAACCAGGTGAAGTTAAACCTGCAGATTTTTGAACAGAGTTTGGCGAAGCACGGATGACTTTCACACTTGTGGCTTAAGAGCAGTTTAAACGCCTCCGCGGACGAACTGAGCAGTTCATTTAAAGTGAGGTGAAGCGAAATTAGACGTCAAACTTACATGTCTGGGTTTCGGCTGAGCGTCTGTCCCTCCTGCTGGATCAAACAGGTCTGAATCAATGTGGTTCAGCCGGCACGAAGGGCCGCCGAAAACAAACCCGAGTGAAGCCGAGCACCTCCGATGTTCGCCTTCAAAATACGAGCCGCGGTTTGTTTTGTTGTTTTTCAGTTGATTTGTGATCTTTGTGATTTTTCTGATGATTTCAGACCAGAGAAATTTAGAGTAAGTACATACAATTAGGATGTATTATTATGGGATTTTTTTCTATATATTTGAAAAAAAGAGAAAGATTATTTATTGGTTTCTTTA